CACGGGACGAATTTTGACAAACATTTTTCAAATTAATACCAAGAAATCATAACTAATAATTACCTAAATATCTTTGCCAATTTTACATGTATAATCCACGCTTAGTTGACCAACAACCGACACAGTTATAAACAGTATATCAAACATAATTCGTATTTTGTGATTTCAAAAAAGTCATGTCTTGTTGTTTTATGCAGAATGCCTGTACACGTCAGTTGGGTATTAAATTGTTCGCGTAAAAATCTAGTAAAATTGCGAAAATTAATCCCAAATTTCTCCGTTTTCCTTCGGTAAAATTTTTTAAAACTTTGCACATTTTTTAGTACCGGCACAGCAAGTGCAATATCCTTTTTTAAAAAAATTAAATCGAAGGGAAAATTTTTAATATTGATTTTTGACGTTTTTTCAATTTTCTAAGAAACGTATCGATTTAATTTTTTTAAATTGAGGGAAAAAAATCATTATACAAGTATGACCTTTTATGCAAAGTTTTAAAAAATTTCACCGAAGGGAATTTTTAAAATGACCTGAAAAAGACAAATTTTGGGCTGTATTCTAAGCATGTTGTTGCCATGACAACAGATTTTTAACACAAAAGTTGCAATTTGTAATGTTCAGGAGAACATTGTCAATGTGTCCAATAAATTTCGTTTTTATGTCATGTAACGTGAAGAAACAGGAGTCTCCTGAATACTATAGTGTAGTAAATTAAAAAACCCTAGGGAGCCACCTTCTAAATAATTAAATAGCCATGTTTTTGTTTATAATTTTGCATTTAAATTCCTCGCCATCTTTTTTGTTCCCACGCATGCGCAGAAGTTTTTCCGCGGTGTTCGTACTTCCGGGTGTATTCGCGTATAAAAATAAAAAGTTCGTCACAAGTCAACTTTTTGGCGTACTATGGGAGTACTAACCAATCAACATTCACGAAATTTTGAAATTTAAAAACGTTTTTGATACGTTTCGGTACGCTTGAAGTGGAAAACCGGCTTTAGGCCACATAAAAAAAAGCTAGTTGAATTGGTTAGCGTCCTCGCCCGCCCACAAAAAGGGCCCCGCTCAGGATATTTTTTAGTTTTTATTTCAAAAAAAAACTTTTATTGATCAACGGGCTCCAATATATGTAGTATTTCTGTCGACTGTAGTCAATTGTGTTAATAAGTTGCGAAATTGCGTGCGAAAATGACGGTATGAATCATATTTTGAAATATATAAAAAAATATCTGTACTTGCGCAAGAAAATAGTCCAGTTTCGGACCTAAAACCAAGGCGTTAAAAATTAGTAAAAATTAAAAGAAAGCGCCCGCCCGCCCACTTTTTGGCAAAAGCTAAGGACGCTAACCAACTATTTTTTATGTGGCCTAATAGTGATAGCCTACTAGTAGCAACAAGCGGCGAAGGGCGCGAGAGTCAATGGTCGTTTTTAAGTATTAAAAGCTGCATTTAAAGGCAAAAAGCTTATCAAAATGGTCTAATTTTTGTTCTGAATTGCACACAAACAAAGACTCTTGGAAATTGCTGACACCACAGCCGACATGTTTTTAAATATTACCTATCTGATCTCATCTCTCATCGGAAATGTATCACAACGATCCAGGACAGTATCGCATGACTCATAAACACTCATTACATATCCGGTTGGCAAAATGGCGATTGTCAGACCTTCACGAATGAATATATGAATATCTGCCCCCCCAATTATCGACTTTCCGGCGTCCCTGGTTTTTTTTCATTTAAGTTAAGATTTTGGTCGAGTTTGTTTTTCGCCTTTTCGAGCCTTTTTAATTAATCGAGTTTTTCGATTGAATTTTAATTAGTCTAAACTATTGTCGATGTATACAAGATGATGGAAATGGTTTGCCTCTTTATGTTCCAGATATTTTAAAGATTTCAACGACATTCGGATTCTTTTGTGTGTACATTTTTATTCGGCTTTTTAACGTAAACTTTTACATTTAGTAACAATTCGGGAAGCCATTTTGTGTTCGAAGTTTTGGACTTTTTAAGCCTTGTTTCCTTTTTTAATTAACCAAACTTTGCTTGTATAACGGCCCCTTACTATTATACTGTTTTACGACTTGTTTTTTAACTTTTTTTAAAACTCACAAGTTGTATTTTTCAAGTCGTTCTTGGGAGTTCACAATACTGAGTATATAAGTTGTCAACAAGGCCGAGGCGTAATATCGCCAAAGGGCAAAGGAAGCCATTCAAAAAGTTATTATTTTGCATAAAAATCTAGTGAAAAATTCCGTTTTCTTTATGTGGTTTATACTAAAACAATTAGACAACTCAGCCTCGTTGTCTCTGAGCGAATAGTCAACTCGGCTTCGCCTCGTCGACAATTCGCTCATAGACAACTCGGCTTCGTTGTCTAATTGTTAAATATGCATGGTCCAATCCCTTTTACTCCTTGTGTTTATATATTGCATAAATTATGCACGGTTCCAGTTCCACGTCCCGGTTCCTGTATCGCTGTATCGTTGTATCGCTTTTTAGTAGTAACCGTGCTTTGCGGCGAGCAAAAAACCCTGCAGCGGAAAAGTGGTTAACTGTGCTAACACACAATACTGCCGAAATCTTCCATAGCTGAGATTATAGGATCCCAAGTCGCTCGCTGTTCTTAAGTATGAATTGGATGGCATTCTAATTCTGACTGCTTTGTAACGCTGCTTACATGGACTTCTTTACAAATCCTCATCATCCTACATAGCTATACCCAATATTGAGCATTTCTATATTCATTTACGATTCCAAACATAAGTCTAAAATATATGTCTAATACGCCTATCGCCCGTATTCTAAAAGCTCACTCACACTCAATGAGTGGAGGTTCAATCTGAGGTTCAATCTGAGCTTCTCTCGAGCGTCACTGCTGTTTTTGAACTGCTGGAGGGCAAGTGTCATACCTTACTATATGGGAGTACTCACCCTCCAGCTATTCAAAAACAGCATTGACACTCAACGCGGAAGCTCAGAATGAACCTCCACTCATTGAGTGTGAGTATGAGTGAGCTTTTAGAATACAGGCGTTTATGTCTAATATATAATACGCCTTTATGTCTTAATATATAATACCTATTCCATTGCATTTATTATACACATGAGCTTGCTCTCACCAAACGTGCGTGTGGTACAACACGATGGCATTCAACGCATCTTGAAATGCACATAGTGTAATGGTGCCAAGTGCCAACTTAGCTTGCTCAAACGCCCAACTGACCACATTCAGCTGATCAATTTATTCTCACTTACCATTTGTGCCCGACTGTTCGAATCACCGTCTTATTAAAATCACATCTACCCGTATAGACCCTCTCTCTTGGTAATTGCCACAACCATTTCACAAGTCCCTTGCTGTACACAAAGACATCGTCATCTGTCTTCAAATAGTATTCAAACTTGCAAAACGTTTGAGCCCATTGTAGACCAAGTTTTGTTTTTAATGTTAAATTACCATAACTATCAGTGAATGAGCCAATCACAAGATCGTTGTAATATTCCGATTCCGTTTCTATACGACGTTGAGTTTCCTTGTCAGTTTGTCCAAGTAAAAACACTGTTTTAACCATACTTTCCACAGTGTAAGGCCCTTTAATAATAATATTTGTTATTTCAGGATCCCTGTCTTTAATTTCAGCCCATGTAGAGCGAATTATAGACCTCTGTTCAAAGTTCTTCGGCGAAGAAAAAACGACAATGAGAACAAATACAGTCGTGTTGCAGCCGCGCGGAACCGTGCTTGAATTTAGGCGTTGACTTTGTCGTGTCGTCCATTTTGGTGGAGAATTACGGTGAGAATTAGGTCGTATAACGGCCAGGCCTTCCTCGCATGAATTTGTAGAGGCATACCTATAATAGCATAGCCAAGCGTAATGCATCCCAAAGAACAGAAATAAGATTTTGATGATAAGACGAGTCAGGAATCGCTTCGAATATATAAAAATCATTTTATAGTAGATCAACCGACAACCATATATAAGATCATATATTGTAAATGTTGTTTCAGCTTCACAATAATTACGCAGGTATTGAAACTATATAGGATCAAAATGTTGCACCAATGTGTTGAATGAAAATTTTAGAATAGAATATCATTGACAATTTACCAGATTCATGTCTAGACTAAATAAAACCCGAATAGTCCCAAATCAACGGAATTAAAGTTGAACTTCCTTTAACGATTACCGAAGTTAAGAGTGACATTACTGTTTTAAGTTTAAAATTCATTTGTCCTGGCTTAAAACTAATCAAAAAAGATGATCTTGAATGACTTGTGGTCGATTGTTGAAAATTGAACACGAATGAGCTTCCAGGCGGTGAACATAAAGAAATAGATGAGATCAGAGATTTGGGAAGTAACCTTTTTTATTTTTTATCAGTGAAAATGAAGCAATCTGATTGGCTGAGAGCCTTTCAGAGCGGGCCGGTTTTTTGCATCCGGCCCGCTCTGAAACGCAACTGCCCGCTGTGAAATGCAACTGCCCGCTCTGGCTTTCGCGACAAAAAC